CCAAGAAAATAAGAGCACAACCGTCGTAGGTAGCCGCTTGCCACAGCTAGAGGCGAAAAAACGGCATGGTTCTGCTGGAGCCTTGATCCCGTAGTGAGATTAAATTCCACACCACCCCCCCCCCGCCCCCCCAGGGATTTATGCATCCATGCCTCCCTTTCATTCCCCTCTTCAGCTCCTCCTTCTCCCATCCTTCACCCCACTTCACACCATTCTGGTTTTGCCCCCACCATTACGTCTCTCCTCCTGCTCCCCCTCTCACCACTCGCTCCAATTCTGCCCTCGCCGCCTCTGCCTCTCTCCACCACTCTTCCTGCTGAAAGCACTCCCGCCAGGTATCAACAGTGAAGGATTCTTTCCCTCGGCACCTCTCTTTCTTTCCATCCCCCTTGTTGTCTCACGCTCGTCCCCCAACACAATTCAGGTCCAAAAAACGTCTGATTTACAGGTTTATTCGGATCCATCTTTATACTTTTCACACATGCACAGACACCAAGTGATTCTACTCTCTGTGGTGTAATAAGTTGCGTTTTGTTATTGAATGCGCACCGTCAATTTATCCTACTACATTTTGGCGAAAACACATCTTTTAAACTCACTAAGTGAGTACTTGACAATGTTGCTACGGTTGAGTTGCTACCGGCAACGTTGTGCACACTGTTGAGTGTTTTTGCACTCGGCGAATGTGTAAAGTCTTTGAGGAACGGGGCACTAAATTTTATCTGGAATTTGTCCAAGTCCCAGCAATTTGACACATCAAATGTTTGCAAGTCTTTGATTGTACAACTGCATATGTGAAAACAAGGGGTGTTACTTGAGTAAGCAGCACTCGTCGGCGCTGGAGTTAGAGGCTGGAGTTTGAAAGCGTGTGTGAAGTGTGGAGGTAGAAATCATTTAGTTCACCCGACCTCGTCATCTGTGCTCGATAGCGGCGCGAGTCTACATGAGACGCTACAGGCGTGACACACCTACAACCCAACTGTGGGTAATGTAGGTGATCGGGGTTTCAAGGACAAAGACGAATATTAGGGGTTAAAAAAAAGAAAAGGTTGTAATGGTAATGGACGCCTTGTTTCCCTCCTCTTTCCTTCTCTTGATTCGCTAGTGCTTGATTCAATTTGACCCTCCCGTCCTGCCCCCTCCCCTTCTCCGGTCACAACTTCCAGCGCTGACTCCGTCTCACCCATGACGTTTGTGCTGAAGGAGACGGCCTCTCTCTCCCGGCCGTCGTTGTAGAAGGCAAGGTGCCAGGCACCGGCGTCCAGGTACTGGACAAACACCGCCTCGTTGAGGACCACGGTTTGGATGCTCCTCCTCTCCCGTGGAGACTCGACAACGCTCCACTTCTCCTTCCCGTCCAGGCGCTCCATGTAGTCATACTAGGGAGAGAACAAAAATCTCACATTTGGCTTTGGAGTGCTCTGCAGCACTTCCTTTCGACTAAGAAAAAGGACCAATAGTTGTGTATGCAGAAAGTTTAAAATAGGGGGGAAGTGAGAGTGGCGGTAAAATGCCAGATGAGCACTAAGAATGCCACAGAGAGATATTTGAGGGATGTCATTCTAAAGAAAGTGCTTTCCACTGCTGCACAGTGGCATAAATTTCATGGTCTTTACCAGCTTCGGGCCAGGGAAAAAACCTTATCCAGATGCAATTATCCCGTTCTACAAATCAAATCTGCTGTTCACTGTAGTCCCTAATTAATAAGAGGCAATAAAAGTTACATTACTGTGAAATTTAATTAAGTGTGAACTCTTAAGACTAAATTAGTTTTTTCAAAAAAACATTATGATGAATCACATATTAATTTTAAGATGTCTCACGGCACGAGCACGTTTTCCTTAATCCAGTCTCCATTTCTTCTGATCAATATGAAGATAATGTGTTCCTAATGAATGGAGTTATAATGACGTGATTAGCCTGATACCCTGAAGGTCTAAATGCTGTGTGATCCAGAACAGATCTCACCTGTGCGTGGGAGGGAGGAAGGCCCTTGCGGATGTACACTCCAAACAGCGCGTCCTTGCCGAGCGAGATGTTGAACTTGAGGAACTGGGGCTGTCCGAGGTGGAGAAGGGACCTCCAGAAGACTCCTGGGGGGATTTCTTGGGTCACCCGCCTGCCGACCTCAATGTTGCCCGTGTCTATGCTGCTGTTCCGGCCCGCCCACGGCCCTGGAGCGAGGGGAAAAGAAACTGCATAATCTGTGATTACGGGCGTTGATCGTCAGAGTCAACAGTTAATCAACATCCGCCGGAAACGAGCCATCAAAATCCGTGGACATGGAACAGAGGACGAGGACAGCAGAGGACGAGCGTCATTAGCCCCGCCAACAATGCGGTCGTAGTGTACCGGTTAGCGGTCGAGCGGTGGGACGCAACACGATGCCTTTTGTGCGTGCGAGCCTTTGGACCGTGTGCTTTGTTGTTCTCAATAAAACCAAAGGAACGGACTCATAGAAGCGCAGGGCAGAGCCTTCAGAGGAAGCAGCAGAGTTTCTGGGCTCAGACACTAAAACAATGGGAGTGCGCGCGTCTGTGTGTGTGTGTGTGTGTGTGAGCAAAAGTAGCAATGAGAAGAACAGCAACATCATCCGGGGATCACAACACAACAGTCGTCTCATTAATACAGAACACACACGCGGAGCTGCAGCCCAGACCTACCTATAGAACACATCGACAAGTGAAGGAAGAATAGACAGAGAACCGCAGAGAGAAGGCCGGGGGGGGGGGGCGGGGTGGGGGGGGTTCTGTCTGAGACAATACAACAAGCTGCTCGAGACAACAGCGGTTAAACTGCACACTGATAGCACAGCGATGCCTGTGTCATGAATTGTGAAGAGATGATAGTTGGTGTGGGGCTGTTGGGGGTTGGGGGGGTGGGTGGGGGGGGTCTGTTGGGTTTTAGAATGTGAGGCACAGCAGGCCCACATTAAAAAAGCCATAAAAGGATGAGACTACCGCATTTGTTTGCAACAAATCGGACCAAGTGTTGTCCTTCAGATACTTTCTGCTGTTGTACTCGGCCTCAAGCCAATTCGCCAACGACATCAATCGGCCAACTATGAGTATGCACGGCACCAGGATTCTGTTTGTGGTACCGGTGTTAAAGTACATATATACAACCCGACGCTACATGCGGTGGCTGGCTTTTGTGTTTTTTTGGAGATGTATGACACAGAGGAAACACCGGGTTTGCAACACAGAGGTGAAGCTCGTCAGTGGGTTAACACACTGTCGGCTTCTCGTGGGGTTTGATCACAACGTGAATACCACCAGCCTCATCCATTACATGCAGTGTCTGGACTCTTGTGCGTGAGGAGGAGGAGGAGGGTGGAGGGGGGGGGGTTGCTTTAGTTCGTACCTCTGCCTCCAGAGGGCAGCGTGGCCACATCGCTGTTGACAGGCAACCCGGCTCCCAGTCCGTTGTTTAACACCGGGCCGTCGGATGGCTTCAGCTGCCATGTCAGACCCAGCAGGTTGATCGCTGCACACCGAGAGAGAGAGGGGTGGAGAGAGAGAGAGAGGTGGAGAGAGAGAGAGGTGGAGAGAGAGAGAGAGAGAGAGAGAGAGAGAGAGAGAGAGAGAGAGAGGTGGAGAGAGAGGGAGGTGGAGAGAGAGAGAGGTGGAGAGAGAGAGAGGTGGAGAGAGAGAGGTAGAGAGAAACAGTAGGGAGTGTGAGGACACATGACTTGAACAGCAGATTTTCGACAATACCAATGTGGGAAGAAAAGCTACACTTAAAGCTCATCAAGGCAGAGAAATACAGGAGGCCGGACCGCTGAGTCTGATCTGTCACAAATACGTGCGTTTTTTATAAAACGCTGCTTTTCCCACTTATAATGCGTAAGTGGCAGACAACCGACAGCACGAAAAAAATCTGACACAAAACAGACAATTCGAACCATAAGGAACCTTTTGGTTTGGGGGGGGTATCCTTGTTTTGTTCCCCCCCCCTCAACCTCTCACAATCTTCTTCCAGCCTGACAGCATCTCCGGCTTTCATTTGGAGGTATTTACACCATCTCGCAGCAAGCGAGTGACAGATTGCTCTCTGAAGGCATCGCTCTATAACTCCTCTCCTTTCGTCCTCTGTTGTGTTAGCGCGTGCCGGTTGGGACGAGACCGCTCGGCTGCGCTCACTCTTCACCCTGTCAGCTCTCTACTCTCTTTCCGCGCGTCGCTTCCCGTCCTCAGCACCGCTGCCGACGCTCTCCAACGGCCCGGCGCGGATTAACGTGCGATCGGCCAGCGGGGGCCTCTGCGGGGCTTTGAGGCACAAGATACACGAGGGCCCGTCTTTGTCGTTGTGAGGAAAGGACACAATATGCCCATGATGAGGCAGTATGCGCACACTGTGTTGTGTACATACATGAGTGTGTGTGAGCTTCGGGGATGCGCACCGCGGGGACGCGTCGGTCTCGTGTGATGCATTATGTAGGTGTTATTGCCGTGGCCCCAAAATATGAGCCCTCTAACACCACCATAAATTCTATCTTCAATGGCCTAGTTGTTTTTTTTTTGCAAACACAGGACAGCAGGCCAATTCTCATCCAGCTACCCCCCCCACCCCCAACCCCCCGCACCACCCCCTGAAGTCCCATCTTTCCTGCCTCCCGCTCCCCCTCTATCTGTTTCTGTGTTTCTACCCTTTTTTATGTTTTCCTCTATTTCTCCCCTCCCTCGCTCCTGGTCAAAAGAAAGCGCTGACACCTCGGTTGACGCCCGGTCTCCGCTGTCAGCTCTTTTTATTTTTCAATTGGGGGGGAGGTGCCGGTGGGAGAGACGGAGGAAGGACGTGCAGAGTGCTTCCTCCCGCCCCCTCTCTCTCTTCTCGCATGCCTCCACCTCTTGCCCTCTCCTCTCTCGGCACGCTGACCTTCATTCCCCTCCCCTCCCCTCCCTCTTTGCCTCTAATTCCCCCACCTTTTTTTGTTTTACCTCCTTCTTCTCATCTTATCTTTTCCTGTCCTTCCTCCTAGATAACGCAGACATGCATCCGCGCACACATTCGGGCGCACCCGTGCGCAGAGATGCTATCACGGGGAGGCAGTCGATGGAAAGATTACCAATCGAATTGGCAGAAGACAGTAAGCTTGTAGTGAGTCTATTGTGGCTGCTGCTCTCCATCTAGGTCATGCCCAAGAACACGACAGCCCCATAGTCAGATGTGTACGTCTGCTCATTGTGTGCGTTTGAGGGGCCGCTGCACACTCCTAAATGAGTTTTCTCTCTTGTCCTTTTCCTTCTCCTTTTTTGCTGTCGCCTGTGGGTGGTTGAGAGGAGTCGACCAATAGATGGCACTCGTACTCCTTGGCGACAGCAGCACGCGAGCCGATGGGTCGTCAACAGGTTTCTTTTTGCAGCAACACAAAGGGCAGGAGAGACACGTAGTGTTATTCTCCAGATTAATCATCCTTCATTCCAACATCGCTTCTGACTGTTAGGGTGTCATTTTAGCCAAAAATGAAACCTCTGAAGTTGATGTGTTCAACATTGTGTTGCCATGATTTTAAGCTTTTTCTTTTCGGATCACAATTGTCGTAATTATTATTTTCGAGCAGCATTGGACGGCTTTATAAATGCCTTGCCAAAAGGAGACAATGTGAATTGAATTTGACTGACGGACCCAAGGAGAACAAGAAAGAGGGTCCGACTTGGGCAGCGTTCTTTTGTGATCTCTGTCTTTACACACACGTGTACGCAGATGGAAAGAACATAGAGAGACAGCTTTAACAAGCAAATCAGTCAGATTAAAAATAGATCTGTTGCTCCAAGAGATTTTTTTTTATGTAATCTTGATGCATAATTCAGAGAGGCAAAGTGCTCGCTAGTATCTTCTGCAAAAGGCAGAATCTGAAACAGCAGCGGTAGCACACGTGATCCTGTGACAAAACAAGAGAAGAAATGGACATGGGGAAGAGCACCGGGGGTCAGGGGACCGCGAGAGAGTGGCGTTGCACCTCGGTGCTGAGGAAGACAGAAGCAGATAGAATACTCAAGGACAGAACGGATCTGAGAGAATATACATATATATCGTAATAAGAAACAACCACCGTGATGACAGTGGTGATGGTGTAGAGAAGGGAGGATGAGATGACTGGCCCCTACGGATGAACTGAGGAAGGGAGAAGAAGACGGCAAGTGGACATAAGAGATTTAGGGGATGAGTGGCCGGTGAGGAAGAGGCATTCGTCCTTTGACAGTAAGTCGTTCCCAGCGCAGGCGATCAGACGGTGATGCAATGGTCACGTGTGGGCTACATATGTTTTTGGGGGAAATGTTGACACGTCTCAGAGTTAAAGGGTGCAAAATGGATTTCTGCGTGGGAGGGGACGGGGTGGAGAAAGGTGTCCCCCGATTGGGAGATGTTGTATCACCGTCAACATGTTCCAACTGATCAAACTCACTCGCTTCGGCTCCTCCTCAACCCTGTCACCCGTTGAACCAGATTGAACCGCTGCTAATCGTACCAAAGGCAGGAGAATGGCCCCTCGCATGCTTTCTTATGTAATTGCTTGCAAGGCGCACCAAGATAACACAAAGAGTAGTGTTTGCACACACACACACACACACACTCTCTTTGCCATCTCCCCTGGCCGTCCTGGTAAATGCATATTAACTGTTCTAATTCACCACTAAATTAACAACTCTGACCTCAATTAGGGCGGTAATTGTGGCGGGTACGAGCCCCCTCCTCCCCCCTCCCAATCCTCGGCCCGGCCGCTAATTGGTTCTTCTCAACCCCCCCCTCCCTCCCCTCCCCTCCCTCCAATCTCTGAGGCTCACGTTAAGCAAAACACTCGGTTGCCCAAAACAAACTCATGGGCGAATATATGCCGTCTCTGCGGCAAAAAGCGCTGCGGTGCTTCCTGTGCTGCTCAACATTCAGGCCATTTGGGACGTGTCTTAGACTTTACAACACATTATCCACTTATGTAGTCTATAAATAAAGCCTGCTTGTCTCTCATATACGTTTCCGTGAGGCGCTGCTCGCTGAGATCATTTAGAGTCTCAGACAGAGGGACGGGGGCGGCTGTTCGGCTGCTGCCCTTGGGGGGTCATAGACACTGAGAGAGACAATTCGTCTGCTTGGGTGTGTGTGTGTGTGTGTGTGTCTGTTTCTGCATGCTTAGAATCGGTATTAACAACAAGTGCACACACACCGCAACCCCCGGGGGGACATCCTCCGCTGATGCAACTGAACTGTAATTTACTGCAACACAAAAGGTTATGTGGTTTTTTTTTTCGCAGTTCCCACCTGCAAAACAGCGCCAGGAGGAGAGAAACGGCAACTCACTCAATCACGCAGCAGAAATGGCTTCCTTATTGGCACTGGGATATTGAGACGGCCCGCCGCGTAGGTGTGCGCACGCGTTCGTGTGTGTGTGTGTGTGACGGGGCTAAATGAAAAGAGATGTGAATCTGAGTGATGTCCTCCTTTCTGAATCCTCATTTCCTCTTCAGATATCTCCTCCCCTCCTCCCCCGCCCCTCCCTGCGCTTTTCTCTCCTCCTCATCAACCCACTCGGCCTCGTCTCATCCCTCCCTACCTCGGTCCTCTCCCTCCCATCGATCTGTATTAGAAACAGGATATGAGGAACTATGGTATCTTATCGCAGATCAGAGGGGGAGAGTGAACGAGCGAGGGAGAGAAACGGGGCTGTGGGGGGAGAGTCCGCTCTGGAGGCCAAGAGACGGAGACGGCTGAAAGAAAACAGAAGAAACTGATGAATAAATGAGAATGAAACGGGCCCATGCGCGCTTGATGCGCAAAGAATAGAACCTCAAAACTTCAGGTAGACAGACAGAAAGTCACCGGACAGACGTCGGTGTTTCCACCGTGTGCTGACTGAACAAGTGGCAAGCGGGTCTTCGTGTGACCTGGCTGGCGCCCACGACCCATTTATCCCTCTGGTGCAGATGGTAGCGCACCTTGCGGCGCTCTCTTCCTGGACCGGCGACGTGTGGTAAGATCCTAATCTTTATCGGTGCGACAGGCCCCGCTGCCGGGCCACATTCGCACCCCGTCTGATCCTTATGGCCGGGCCCCTGCATTCGCCACATGCCCTGCCCTCATGTCGGCGCACACACCCGATGCACACGCACGCACGGCCACACTGGCATGAGCGACACATCCTGACCTCTAGCTGTTCCGCCTCGGCTCGGCAGACGGGACGCCACATGCAGAGTGAGAGGGGACGATGGGGTCAAGGAGCTGGCTTTGGAAGGCGGCCACAATGAGACCTGCGGGTTTCCGACACGACTGAAGCACACAGAGTACACACAGAGTACACACAGAGTACACACACTCTGGGGTTTACTGCCGTTGTGTCTTCTTGAAAAAAGACAAAATGTAAGAAGGTTTGGGTCAGGACCCCTCAGGGTTTTCGTAAGATAAACCCGAGGAATAGAGAGAGGATTGATTAGATAGATAAGGGAATAAACCCAAACACATTTCATCTAAAAAAAAGATCTTAATCTGAT